TGAATCCCATCCACGGCCGCACCCGCGTCGAGAGTGGAGTACCGATGAGTGCTTTTAGACGAGGTCGTACTCGTAGGCGACAAAGCTTTACGCCGATAGCACGAAATAAGGAAAATACGACGAAACGGATGGAGGGAGAAAGACGGTTAAAGTAAGAAGAACGTGTGCGGATAAGGAGATGGGGAGGTAGCCGGGGGTTGCTACGAACAAATGCGAGGCTCTGCCTCCATTTACCGGGGGGGAGGGGGGGGGAGGAAAGAGGGGGCGAGTTGCGAGCGCCAGGGGTTGGCACGAGATGGAAGAAATTCGTGGAAACACCGCGGAATTGGATAAGCCGGCGGGGTTTGTTTTGTCAGGGGTTCGCAACGAGAATAAACGCGGCGACTGTGGGATCGCGTGGTTGATGGTCATAGGCCCGACTATCGCGTGTCCCAGCAAACTTCCACTTGCTAGCTCGTTCGCTCGCTCGCTCGTCCGTCTGTGCGGAAATCGGCAATCTGCTAACCCGAGACAGGCACTCGTGTTGTTAACAAGCGTCGTCCGATCGATGGGTGAAACCAGTTTCACTGTTTCTCTGGTTAAATTAATATTCTCTCGGAATGCTTACTTTTCACGAATAAGTAAATTACCTCGTATCACTCCCCCCGCCCTCATCGCATAAAATCGTATCAGTGGTCTCTTTTAAGGAGTCATTTTTACCACTTGTGATTGCGCGTATTAAAATTATGACATTGTTTAATACAGTCAACTGTTTTAATAGAGTTAACTGAAACTTTGCATCGCGAGTATGTTACAAGCAAATGTTTTATCTTATAAAACTTGCAAGATTATTTATCATAGTACACATGTGGAGATGATCAAAATATGATATATCTCATTTCTTTAACTATGAAAAAAGATCCTTTAGAATTCTAATTGTCAATTTCAGCGAAATTTAAAAAATGTAAGAAATATTCGCAGTTAATATCATTGCCATTATTATTATCAATTCTTGAAATACTGAACTGCTCGTATCTGAAACCGCATTGTAATGAAGAAATTTCGCAGCCGTAATTTACTTTTAATTTACTTAATTTACTTTTTTTTAGATGGTATTTTGCGAATTACAAGCTTTATTGTTTATCGTAGCAAAAGTGCGAAACAAGACCGGTCCTTGCGAGAACTATTGTCGAGACAAGACCGGCGGCGATCGAAAGCCCGACAATGGAATTGCGATTATCGTCCGAGCAGGGTTGCTTGCCCTCATCAAACTCTATATACACGAGGGCGAATCGAATGGTATGGAACACGATGAGAGACAGGGAGAGGTATCGGCGAAGGAAAGAGGAAACAAGAGGGTGAGGGGCGGGATTGGCACGGGGTGGAGGAGCAAGATAGAGTTAGATAGGAACGAGCGGGAGGTACTAGGTTCTGTTTGTTGAATCCTCGAGATCAATACGACGTACCCTATCTCTTTCTCCCTCGTAATATTGCGGACGATAGCATGCGTGATACACGTACATGTTCATGCTTCCGTACATGTTCATGCTACGCGTCACGAGAGGCAAAGTGATGCTGTGCCAATTGGTTCCAAATTTTTTACGTAAGTGTTTGTCAAACTACGTTTATCTCTGAACATAGAGAAATTGACAAAATTGCGATGTATGAATTTGTCAATTTTCATCTTTCTTCCTACAAGGTAAATTTATACGGAAATAATAGGAAAAATTTCATGATTAATGTCGTGTACATCATACGAATTACAATAGATTGTTGCCGTGAGATTGCAGCTAGTGATCTCCATTTTCGATAATTATACAAAATAACATTGCAAGATTTATGCAAGTTTCAAGATGAAAGTATCGCAATTTTTAAGATATATATAATATGTTGAGCGCTAATTTTCGAGCCTTATTGATTTATATATATGCTTTATATATGTAAAAATTGGAAAACTTTTTTTCACGAAAAAAAATTGTAAGAAATTAATAACAATAGCCCTTGAAGGTAAAAGTCTATATCTCCGGAGTTCCCACCCATTTCTACGTGATCCTTCGTTCCACTCGGCTCTTCCATAAAGGCCAGCGATTTCACAAAAGATGAATATACGGTAGAAGGGTGGCTTCACGACGCGAGCCTGCTTTTCAAGAAACGGGGTTGGTCATACCGCCTTACTTATCGCACTAGTTATACCACGAGTGAAGGAAGCTCTCGCGGTGCTTTTTCTAGCTCTATCTCTCTCTCATGCTTTCCCCCGTTCTTCCTCTTCCGACCAATCGAGAAAGCCTGCTTATCGTCAACGCGAAGGGTGAACTGCGCATTGCGGTATGGGACGAAAATAGGTCGGCCAATTCTCGTACCAGCACCCTCTTTCGCCTCCACCTTACCTATCGACACCTCCGCACCCTTATCCGAGCTCTAATAAAAAACGAATACCTGCGAGTGTGAGCTTCGATCGCTTAGGCGCGGCCTTTTCGACGCACATTCAGGGTCAAATTTAACCACCGATGATGCGCTGAGAGGGAGGCCAAATGTGCAATCGAGTCATTCAAAGCGTTACACTTAATGCCTTGAAATAACATATGTGTAAGTATTATTTGTAAGCCTCCAATTAAGTACAATTAATGTAATACTAAAATTACAATATAAAATATGGAGAAGCATACATTCAACATATGTGTAAAAAATTTGATTGTGTGGTTTGTGATCAAATAATAAAATTGAAATATTCATTGCTTTCATAAACATATTAAATGTTAATTTATTAATTTTCTATGGTATTATTAAACTCGTAAGAAAAAAAACAAAAGACTCGCAATTTATTCAAAAATTTTGCTATCAATAAGAAAATATTAATGTAAATTTAAATAATGATTTAAATCAGAGCAAACTCTTCGTCATTTCATGTTTGCTAAAATAAATTAGCAATGAAATTAATGATGAAAATCTTAAAGCTTAAATATAAAATGTAACTTTATGCAGTCTTATTAAACTGTATGATTGTACGCAATTGTTAAGGAAAGTGCGCAATCATATTCGTTCAACACTTATCAGTGATTAAAAAGACGAATTTTAAGTCTATTTAATCTACGCACCTTCCTCCAGCGCATCAGAGAAAAAAAATATATATGTATATACATCTGCAATATCGTCAGCGTCAACTCACTTTCGCTGAAGACACAAGCACACATTGTCATTTTTGTCAGCGCGTTTTTCACATTTGATTTCTTCTTATAACGCCAATAATAACAAGTTCATCACTACGAAATCGTCTTTCAAAAGTCTTCATGAAGAAATCATAAATTATAAAACATCAGCGAATGATTCTGCATGATCTTTCGTGCATATATCAGTAAGTCCTCGATTTCCAGATCACTGCTTGTCTTCGGACCATCTGTCAGTCGTAGAATATTGTTGTTGAGATTGTTGGCTCGTAGAAACCTGTGAAGCAGGTTGTAATGATTGTTGCGCTTGCACGTGTGCCTGCATCTGATACAGAGGGTAGCTCTTTCGTTTTCTGATGCCATGCATAGAAAGCAGGTGGATCTGCAAATACTGCTTGGTCTTGAATTGCTTGCTACACACATGGCACGAGATGTATTCAGTTTGTATAGTGTGAACGTTAACAATGTGCTGTTTTAGATTGGAATTATTCGAGTATATCTTGCCGCATTCGGGACACTTGGGTTTACCGCTGTGATTAGCATTCTCCATTTGTTGATGATACCGCCTTTGAGTTTGTTGATGGAGTATCGCCATGCTCTCAATCTTGTCCTTCGCACAAGACTGCAGCATGAGATTCAGTTGATCGCTCTTGCTCTGCTGTAGACTTTGGAGATTGTTCTGCAGTTTCTGATGCATCATCGTAAGTTGCTCACTGTTTAGATTATTGAGGGAGTTGAGGGCATTGAGGGTGTGTTGCTGCGATGACTGTTGGCTGGTGGCATGTTGATGATGATGTTGATGATGATGATGATGCTGAAGCAGGGCTGAGAGATCCTGCCCTTTCGAGTTGTGACCTCCACTGCTCTGGTAGGTTCCAGACCCGGCGTGCTCGTTCCTCGTGGAGGATGTACCCGGCAGCCAACCGGAACTCGAGCTTGAACCATCTCCTCCAGAGGGCTGCCACCGCCCTGGAACCACCAGCCAATGTCAGTCCTCAGCCAACCTCGTACGATCCCTTAAACACTATTCAATCGCTTTTTCTTTTTGCCTCCCGTAGCCCTTTCTTATGCATTTTTTTTTTGACTTTCTTTTCTGAAAGTATATTTCCAGGTCATAAAGACAACTTGCCCTCGATATTTTTTGCACCCTCCCCCAACGAGCCTCTCCCTAAACCTAGGATCGAGTTAGATCCTTCGTATCGTGCGAATTAATACGACGAATTAATTATTCCTGGCGCTCCTGTGCGCCCTACATACACAATTCGCCTCTTCTTCATCATCTTCCCATATCGCGATTTGTTTCCGATTTTTATTCAAACCGTGATCAAATAACGTCACTAACATTGATAATCACGTATAATTAAAATTACTTTAGATAATATAATTTTAGATTTACTCTATTTCCGATCCTGAAAATTTTGTTAATATTTTAAGTAGCGGCGCGAATCGATTTCACACTGGCACAATTTTTCAAAGTATAGATAAGTCACGTCGAAAATGAGCCTCGCATCGCAGACGAAGACAATGACGAAGATACGATGTAAAACTCGTTTCCGAATAGAAAAGTAATTGCATAATAATGGCTATGAAAAGGGTTATATCTCCGCCATGTAAGACATCACGATAACAAAAATCATAGAAGAGCCGTTGAGATGCGACTCTATAATACGTTGCTGCTGACCGTGTGGTAAGAGGGGTAGCTGACAAGGAATACAAGGTTGTGAGAGGTACGAGAGTTTCATGCATTCAACGCAACAACGAGAGATCAAAGTCTTAGGAAACGACGGAAGGATACTAGTTTGGGCTTTAAGAATGTTTAAAAGGGTGAAATTGAATCGTTTGATTTGACGAACTCACCATAATTTGGATCCTGATTGGCTACTTGATGCATACCGGATGGTCCTGGCATGTTCATCCCTATAATTCATGAATAGAATTAATTAGATTATTGTCAGGTCAGAGAATTCACATGTAAATATTTTAAAAAATTATAAAAAATTAACATAATTATTAAATAAAATAAATATAATTATTTATATATTATATTTGAATACAAAGGATTAGAAGTGCAACATTTATTGTTTTAAAAAATTATCTTTCATAGATATATTAAAAATATAATAAATTTTTCTTATTCAATGACATATATGAAATACATTAATAAAGTCAACTGTTTCACGGTAAATATAAATCATGAGATTTATATCGCTCAATTGACTATAGCACAGGTAAACGAAATCAAATTATGTTAATAATATGTTAGTTTATTACATTTAATAATAGATTCATGTTAACACATTTTCGTAAGTCAAAGAATACAATGAAATTATGTACACAAATAGAAATAATTGTAATTATTCATTAATTAATTTTAATTGAAGCCGTAATTAGTAATTAAGTCGGGCTAATTGCTAATTACAAAAGTAATTAGTAACTGGCCGAGGAATTAATAATTAATTACAAATGTAATTAGTAATTAAATGTGCCATTAATTAAAAAACTAATTTGCATTCTCTGAACAAAATTGGGATTTCTTTGGTCTATCGTATATTCAACCCTGCCTTATAAATAACGAAGTTGGCTGTTGTTTGCATAAGCAATTACCGATATAAAACATATTTTTCAAACAGATCAATAGACTTATTCCCTTCGGAACATGCGGCATTTATTATTAAATTAATCGCTAATAAAGCAAATAGTATAATGTACCAAGTATAAAATGCACAACAAAATTTATTATGAGAATTTCAAGCTGTAAAAGCTATATAATTACCTTGAAGACTCAATAATGCTGCAGGAAAACTGTTACGATGGTGTTCTATGGAGTCATTTAGCATATTGTCGCTTGGTTCAGTCTTCACGGCATTTAGGATGCTGCCGTGATTCGACATATCTTCCTCATTTTCCGACATAGAGTTTGAATCTTCTCCTGTCGATTGCGCCTGAAAACAAATAAAATATTCCCATATTCATTAAATAAAATATCTTTATAATCATTGTAATGATATTGTTCAATTTTATAAAACTTAAATTTACAATTTTGGAGGGAAATACATTTATTATGTGAAATAAAACATTGTTACTTAATTGTCTATACATTATTCTCATTCACCTGTACATTATTTGAAGATGTCGTGTGTATCGTGGGACCACCTTCGAGTGCTTGACCTAACAAGGATTCCTGAAGATCCGTTTTCTGTTCGACATGATTGCCCATTGGCGGGGAGTAACTTCTCGGTCGTTTTTCCGGCGGACTCATGTCGCTTTCATTGAGATCTCCTCTGCCATTATCTTGCCAATTACGTGGCGTTGCCTGATCAGATTAATAATAAGATACGGACAATAGTATCACAAAAAAAAGCGATGCAATCGTTCATTTATACAATTTATACAATTTCAACTAATATTTAACATTCAATAATCTCATTATATGTATAATCTGCAAAACTCCGGACTACTCATCCATTAAAACTTTCGCGTAATATTTGTCTAACGTCTATTATAAGTCGCGAAATTAAAAGCTAAAGGACGAAGCGGGAAATTCTAGCCGGGGATTCCGCCTGTCACGGCAACGGCGACGGCGTAGTGTTAAAAGCACATTAATTAAAATTCGTTTTAATTAAGGCTAAATTAATTAAAAGTTCGAAACCAGCCGTATAATTCGTATAATTAATTTTCCAACTTCCATATTAAACTGCCGCGGGGACAACTTACAGGTGCGCTACCGTTGTTGCCGGCCGACGACGGAATTTTCGTGGCGCCGCTATTAACGTCCGCCAAACCCCGTACTTGAAGCATCTGTGCTGTCTTTAAGAAGGCAGGTAGCTGCTCCTGGCCTACGTGTACTTCCCCGTGATACATAAATCGCAGCAAGGATTCCATGTCTGACGATGCAACATCCTTCAGGATGACAATCGGATGTGGACACGGATTTGCCTGCATCAAAAAGTTAACGTTTCTTTCGAATTTACATTTTTATGAGTAATAACGGAGTGAAAAACACGCTTATCAGAGAGCATTCTAATGTAAATAACAAAACATAATTTATATTCAAATATCACTCCTACTTTTACGTTATTACGACTAAAATCATATAACATCGTTATCTGTTTACGGAAAGTTACTTTAATTTGCAAAACGATAAGATTTAAAAAAGTAATAATTTCAAAATTATTATAAATGTTTAAGATAGCTTGTAACTCGCTTAATCCCCCGTTCTATTTCGATCGTACCATCGCTCAAGATTATCCATTCAATCAAACGGTCAAACGCGCAGCGCTGATTCAACGAGATTTGATATAAGATATCAGTGTCAAGTTAATCGTAGCTATTAATTATCAGCTCATCCCGGCCAACCATTAGTACAGTTATTTTATACGCAGCGTGGCAATTACGAAAAGTATGCGCTCTAACGCATCGATCGATCAAGGTAATCGATCTATCAGGAAACGCGTGATTTTTGTAATCGTAGATTCATACGAGAAGAGATCGGAAACCAAGAAAGATACATCGATCCTCTATCAGCAAGAGGTCAAGAGGTTTGACGGTAACGAATACTCCCTCCCATCCTTCTCCTCCTCTCCTCCTCGTTTTCTTTCGTGTACAGAATAGAACTTTCTTACGTATGCTAAAATTAATAAGCAAAAAGCGTATGCATTTTTATATCCGTCGTGTAAAAAGAGAAACAACTTTCCTTTTCTTCCTTTCATAGTAAACCATTCAACATTAGCTAAAGATTAAGAGGAGTATGAAGGATTCTCTGATTGATGCTCGGTGAATCGATTCCTCTTGCGAAGCGCTTAATCCTATCCATCGATGGACACGCAGGGGAAGCCTGACGGCCGATTAATTTGTAACGATTTACAACCGAGATGCATGTAATCAGCGTCGTTTAATCCACGTCAAAGCCACCCTTCATCTTGGTGCACCGATTTGTACATTTAAGAGCACATAAATCGCTGATGTTTTTACAAACGCACGCAGCAAGGAGATTTGAAGAGATTTTAAAACAAAACATTGCCATCTATTATCATTTTAATCTTTAGCATAAAAAACATTATTGGCTTAGGCATAGTTGAATTATCATTTTCTGCTCAATTCAAGTTAAACTTTTGGCATTTAATTTGCGGAAAAATTTTACCTCGGTTTGAATTACAGCGAAAATAAAAAATTCTATAATAAAATGACGCAAAATATATCCTTATTGCCAAGAGTGCTCCAGATACCTTTTCACCTTTCTCATCAGTAGATTGACCGAGTGAAATCGCTTTCCGCCGACGGTTAATTACATCCACGAATAGTCACGCTCGGCGGCCAATTGATTCGTAACGACAATTTATAACCACGACGCGTATAATGATCGATACTCAATCTACGTCGGGATGTTTCCGTACCCCTTAGGCATCAATTCTTGCACCTGTCAGACCGACGAATTAACTCTTAATATTGAACGATCTTGGAGATCGTTAGACGGTGACAATTTATCCTCAACGGGCAAAGTTGCACGTGCACAGTTTCATATTATGTTTTTATAAATTAAAAATTCGTATTTATAATCTATTTTGTATTTGCATCTACCGCATAATATACCGTTTATATCTGAAATACATTACATTATATCAGTTAATAATTGCGTGTGCAATTTACAGGAAAAAAAATACCAAAATACACTGACTCGACACAAATATGCCTATTAATTTTCGCTATTTAATTAATTATTTATTTATTTATTCATTTCTCCTCTGTTTATATAAACCTATGCACAATAAATTCAACTTGCGGTTATAAATCATTAATTTCTAAATAAACGAATGCATATTTTCATAATATGAGTGCAAACACACAATGTGTTCTCGGTTAAATGAAAGGTTGCTCTGTATGCCGGTATCGATCATGATCGCTCTCACGAAAAGACCGCGAGAGCAGAAAGCGGAGGCATCTCATGGCGATGCATGTATGTACATCGTGGCAATATCGCACGAAGTGCTAGTGCCATTATCGACAGCGATATTAATTATAATTAATGAACCTTCTGGGGTGGCGCGGCTTTCTGTGCGCCTACACAATTACATCGAGACGACGTGATGCTGCACATACACACCCTGCATCGCGAATGTCGAGACATACAATGCCGCGAAGAATCGTTCCGACTTCGATTATCGATGCCCCGAATTTAACGTCGGTACGTGAAAACCCACAGCAGCGGAGGCTCGACGCTGCCATGTGCAGGGACATTTATTATTGGCCAGTATCGACTTAACGTCTGTGCACGCGGTACAGCAAGGTGCGGCGTCTCGATTTATTGGACTGCAACGAAACGTATCGGACAAATGGTTCTTGAGATGAAAGAGCAAGTTTGCGTTGCGCATATAAGCTGCATGGAAATGATGTAAAAGGAGAAAAATGTTAATAAATTAAATTAAGAGCTTTAACACACAAAGATAAATTTCACACGTTATAAATTTCGAGAAAATAGATTAACATAATTTACATAATGTGAAAAGAATCATATATCTTTTAATATATATGTATAATATGTATATTAATCAGATATATTTTATGAGATAATTAATATTTGATATTTTGTTAATTAATATTTGATATTTTGTTAAGAAATAACCGTAAAAAATAATAAACCTAACTTTAAAAGTTTTCTCACAGAATCCGCAAAGAATCAATAATCGCACAATGCAGTTTCGTAATTGGAGAACTATATTTTATTAAATGCCGATAGTCGTTCCAATAAAAGAAAAATTCTACGCTGGTTGAGTGTTTTATCTCGACAAAAGCACGACTTAATCAATCGAACGCATTGAGATTCATCTCTCGATGAAGGAAAGCACATAGGATAGAAATATTTTTACCAATAATTTCACACAGTCACAAAAACATGATTTTTTTAACAATAATTATACGATTGAATAAACGATGTTAATTATATAATACAAAATAAAAGAAAGTCCAACCGTTAACGAGAAGAAAAATCTCGTTGTAGTAACATTTTATCATTGTGCTACTTTTGTTATAATTCGAAATGATAATAATTTATTAATAAAAGACTTATTGACTTGCACTTTTAAAATAAAAGATATAAATATAAACTTTCTTCAATTTGTAATTTGTTTTTAAAGCGTTCCATTGTCTCAAAATTTCAACAAATGTGTTCACTTTAAAATTTTATGAATACTGAACATATATGGTTTCTCGATACTTTTATCGGGTGCTGAAAAGCTCGTTGATGAGAATAATTCAAATAATTGAAGTAGTGGAAATAATCACTGTCTGTAGGTATCCGCACACCTTTAGAATTCCGCAATGAAAAGAGATAAAGCGAAACAGAGAAGTAGAAGAAGAGAGACACAATGGATGGCGCAAGAGAGGAGGAGAATGAGAACACTACGAACTCCTTTATCGCATTAACCAACTCAATTAACAACTTTGAGACGAGACACCATCCTCTCTAATTAGACCTAACGGGATTAAAACGGGTCAATAATTAATTGTATGATCGCGTGTGCGTCAGAGCAGAATAGACGAATGATCAAAGAGCCTCCGATTAATTTGCGAGATACGTATCGATCTGCGCGATATATATCATAAATTCCCTAACGGATGATATTTATTCGACTGTAACTATGTATGCAAGAATACGTCGACGTGTCAACTAATGTTTCATTATTTGCTTACAAAATATAGCTCTTGCAAGAAGCCATGTATTCAATTCCATTATAATTACAGGTAGAACTGTATATGGAATATTTATGCAATCTATCGTCAAACATCTTATTGTAGTATCGCATCATTGTGCTTGTTATCAAATGAAATTTAATTGATAAATTGCTCGTATACACTTCATCCAATGAACAATTTGTCTCAATCATCAAAAATGGCCGTCAGATAATATAATACAATATTTACCAATATTGTATTACATACAACATTACTCATTTAATCAATTTTCAAAAAAAAAAAAATTTACAAATTTAATCCGCCAGCTCGACAATTGGTGCGCATCGATTTTAGATTTTTGATGAAAACTGTATTTGCAAAGTTTCTCTAAGAGAGAGAGTCTAAATAAGATACTTATCTATTCATCATCACAGTCTGTCTCATTTATCTAGTCAGATGGTAAGCTTCCGTCGTGATTTTTTCGTGCATGGAGGCTCGCAACATGGCTTGTAACGTGGGAAATTTTGCGGCAGTCTTATTAACGACTTTTCGCAAGTCCCCGTGCACATGTATCGTGTATGCATGATTTTTCCTTGAATCAATGTGCTCGCGTATCACCGGCCATAATTATCCAGCCACCTGTGAGCGATCGCGCGGCGGAATCCAGAGCGTCCGCTTTCTAAAATCCGTAAAGCAGCGGCACGGGGAAGATCGTGGCGAGCGATTAAGAATCGCCGCGTGATCGAGCGGCACCGATAATTGATTAGTGGATACATAAACGGGGCCCATGCGTGAGAGACACAATGAAGGGGGGCGGCGGAGATTAACGATATGCCGTAGAAAATGAGCGGACTTGTATCCAAACGTGTCGCAAGACATACTGTAGTAGCTGGGGCCCTAAATTCCTTTAGAGTTCCCGGTGTTCGTTATAACGAACGAGCTACATATCTTTTTTATTTATAATAAACAAGCATCTATTTTCAGAGATACTCGGGATTGCCGTCTCAATTCGCGAGCACGCTGTGAGTTATAATTAAATTATTTAACACAACTTACAATAAATAGGAGAGGAAAATAAATTACGATATTTTATATGAAGAGTTGGGAAATGATTTACTTGGAGCAAAAACGTAGGGTGTAAATAATTCCTTCCGAATTATTACTTCCATAAGATATTCGATATGACTAAAAATGCTTTACTCTACGATCATATCAAAATAACTCACAAAAGATTACGTAGCGTGTTTATGTTAGCGATCATTGAGAAT